GCTAAGAGAGTGTGCAACATCACCTAGTGGGTTTCCATGGCTGAGCAGAGATTCAAACTCTAGTCTTCAGACTCATACCACTACACCACTCTGGCTTCACTACTTAAGAAATACTGGGAATATATCTATATGCTTTACAGCAGCAATGTTTAACCAATCACCAATGAGAATTCTAAATTGACTGATTATACAGTGGTCCTCCACATTCACTGGAGTTAGGAGTGAAGGACCCCCGTGAATGTGGAAGAACAGCAAATAAGAAAACACTATCCTTTTTACCTGAGAGAAGTCCTCTATAGGAATCTGCAGGTCCTCCAGTGCAACACTATGGTCAACATCTGTCAGAATTGTTGCTCATAGAATCATGCTGGAGGACCTACAAATGCCTAGAGAAGTGTTTTCTCTAGGAACTTCTAGGTTCTTCAGCACAACTCTATGGTCAACCTCTGGCAGAATTGTGCTGGAGGACAGATTCCTAGAGAGAACATATTAATCAGAACAGCAAATAACCATATCTGCCAATGTCAAAGCCACAAATGTAGAGAGCCAACTGTATGGTCACCTGGACTCACAAAGAAATTCTATCAGCAGATTATAAATCCCTTTTATATCCCTCAATCCTAGGAATGGGTTAGCCTGCTAAGTTTACCTCTGAGTAGATATAAATTCACTATCAGTATATCAATTTATCTAACATGTGACACATTTAACAACAACTTTGCAGATAAAATCTCTCAGATAAGAGCCAACTTAGATGCCAGTGTTGTAATGGAATCAACTGATGAGGTGTCCAGCAACTCTGTTAATGAAATTATACTGGATAAGTTTCAATCTGTGAGTACCAATGACGTAGACAAGCTCCTTGGTAAAGGGAGGAAGACAACCTGCCCTCTTGATCCTTTCCCATCATGGCTGGCCATCCGGGGGGGAATGCCGTGAGGATGCTCCTTAGAGACATCATCAATGCATCCCTCAGGGAAAGTTATGTTACATCTTGTTTGAAAGAAGTGGCAGTTAGGCTGCTTCTGAAAAAACCTTCCCTGGACCCCCTGGATATGTACACCTATAGGCCGGTCTCATTAGTACCATTTTTAAGCAAAATGATCAAGAGGGCGGTTGCTCTTCAACTCCAAGCTGTCTTGGACAAAACCGATTATCTAGACTCATTTCAAACTGGCTTTAGGACAGGATTTGGAATTGAGACTGCCTCACAACATCCTCTTGGATCGCCTGAGAAGAGGATTTGGGAGAACATGAATCGCATCTGTGTGGAAATTCTGACTACAAAGGCTTGCAAAAATGTATAACTTCTATCTTCTCATGCCTAAATCAAACACAACTCAGAAGATGAGGAATAGAGTTGGCCTTTCACATCCATGGATTCCTTATCCACGTATTCAAGCATACACAGCTTGAGAATACTCAAAAAATATATACAGGCATCCATCCCTGTTTTCGCAGACTTGGAGTCTGCAATCTCGCCCATGCACGGGCGGGGAGGGACACAATGGACAAAATGGGGCGGGGGTGGGCACGCACCACCATTCAAGCCAATGAAGCTTGAATATTGGTGATTTTCTGTGTTCACGGGGTGTGTGTGTGTGTGTGTCTGGAATGGATCCCCTGCGAAAACGGAGGGGCGACTGTAAATTCCAAAAAGCAAACCTTGATTTTGCATTGTATATAAGGGACAGCATTTTACCATACCATTGTATTTAATGGGACTTGTGCATTAACAGATTTTGGTATCCAAGAGGTATTCTAGAACCAAACCAGTGTAGATACCAAGCAGCTTTGTTTTTCAAACACCAGCTAGGATGTCTAATGGTGGCAGAAGTTATAGTTTGACTGAAACTATGTTTTCTAAGAAGAACAAAACCATGAATACAGATAAGAAGGGGAAAGGGTAAGTTCAAGAAAGGAAAGGATTTGACCCTTCCCATGAAATCTCTTCTGGAAATGCTACTTTAGGCCATTCTCCCACCTCTCCTCCTGCACCACTTTTTAGTTTGGAATCTGTCTGAAATTAAAATAGACAGGGGAATATTTACAGAGAATTCCTCTTCCACCCACTAAATCTACAAATGCCCAGCATTCAAATTATACAACCAAAATAGGCATTATCCTATACTGGTTCCACAATAATAACTTGAAAAATTTTAAATGGTTTGAGCCCTAATACAGTTGCCTCTCCCTGTTTGCGGACTTCAAGTCCGCAGTTTCACTCTCTGTGGGACGGACAAGCAGCTATAGATAAAATGGCGGTGCGCAGCCCCGCACAGGCTCCATAGGCACGGGTGCCATTATTTTCAATGAGGCTTGAATATTTGCGAGCCGACATTTGCACAGGGGATTGCGGAAATGATCCCTCGCAAATTGGGAGGGAACACTGTATTATTATTTATTGTTTTATGTGAATGAAATATTTACCGTTATGTGCCTTCAAGTGAATTCCTACAGCAACCCTACCAGAGTCATAGTCCAACACTCAAACCACTACGTTATGCAAGATCTCTGTGAAATATTAATATCTTGCCCATCAGATCGCAAGACAGTACACAATAAAAAGTTTAAATAATTTAAATTATCTAAAAACATATTGCACAGTCAAACCCCCACATCTGCACTTTTGATTATTTGTAGATTTGATATGTTCTCTCTAGGAATCTCTAGGTCCACCAGCATGACTGTGTTATACACAAAAGAGAAGGGTCTCTCTCTCGCTCTAGCAAACCTCAGTTCTCAGTCAACTACATAAAGAGAGAAGCGCTGCTTCAAGCATCCAGATCCCAAACCACCGAGAGCTCATTACCAGCACCCTGATCAGAACTGTTTTTCAAACACCAGGTAGGACTGCCTCTCCTCTTTGCTCTTCCCATCAGATACTACAGTGCAGATTTTGTTTTATTTATTTATATCCCACTCTTCAGACAAAAAGGCTCCCACAGTGGCTTAGAAGTTATTAATTTGATGGTTGCCTGCTCTCAGATTTACAAGCTAAAGGTTACTGTCACTACCCAGGACACTCTTTTCTAGAAGTGTGACACACTGCATCATAACTCCTTCCACATACTCCTAGAAGGCAAGAAAATCTTATAACATCTTCTAGACTGACCCAGGAAAATGCAAAATGTGTGGGTATGGTGATGAGGTGACATTTTGCATTCCCATAGGTATTCATACAGTCCAATTATAAAAGTCCTTTCTGGGAATCATTTCATTCCATGTGTCTGAGGAAAATAGGCCAAGACCCAAAATACACTGCAGAAATAATTCAGTTTGACACCACTTTAACTGCCTTGGCTCAGTGCTAAGGAATCCTGGGAATTGTA